CAGCCTAGATCAGTTCTAGATCAGCCTAGGGCCCAGAAATACCGATACCTAGCCCTGCGTCTGCTGGGAGCTGGAAACCTAAATACTTCCCCAGCCCATCCTGGGCACGGCATTAGGGTGAGCTCAATAGAAAGGAAAAAAGAGCATGGCAGTACAAAAACCCTTCCTCTTTCCCCTCTAATCTACATGTTGCTAATTTTGCTTCTCCCCCTTGAGAAGAAACTATGGATTTACTTTCAGCTGCTTTCATGAAGTCACTCTTCACATGCGGGTCTGAGGGGGATGGTAATGGTTACAGGAATAGCAGGTGCTGCTAATGGTTCCCTTGAAAACCTTCATGTTTATGGCAGACTTTACTAGCCAGCCCTGCCAGCTCTTCTTCCCCCATGGACAGTAACCATTACTGCTGCAAAGGAGAAATGTGATGCGTGAAGGTGGGAAAGATGATCCTTCCGCTTCCAAGGCTGAAACATTGTAATGTGAGTGTGTGCAGTAGATGGAGGGGGGGGGAGTTGATGCTTTTAATGTATAATGAGCTTTTGGTTGGTGGTTCATCTCTGGGTTGGACTGACTGGTAGTCATCCCTGAAATGTCATTACTGCCTGTGATCCTTGAATTGGCTCTCAATGCTGGCCTGCCATGCCAATAAATCTTAGCTTGCTTAAGGGCGGGGGGGGGAAGTTTCCCAGCTTCTTCCCAGTGTTATTTCTGAAGCCTTCATGTGGGTCTGATCCTGTAGCAGATCCAAAAGCTTGGGTTAAAGAAATGGTGAGAGAAATTCCCACAGGTGGAGCTGGGATGGAGTGAGTATCTGACATCAGCCGTAGTATGAGCCTCCCTCCCCTAAATCCCTGCCGGAGGCCATCACCCCGAGGACTGTCCCCATCCTGTGTCACAGCCCTGGGCAGGATTTCTCCCTGACTCTTCCTGCCCTGCTCAACATTACTAGCCTCCACAAGTGTGTTAGTGTGGGTCTGTAATTTTGGGGAGGAAGTGGAGCAGAAAATCACCAAGCCTCTATTTTTCTCCTAATGGATGGTTGCTGGCATAGTGCTTATGGCTCTCCAGAAATCTGTCTCTTTGGGCAGCTCCTGCAAGATCCTCATGTATGGGGCTCATCCTCCTTGGGCTTCCAGGGGACTTTGGTGGTGGTCTGTGACTTCAGACTAAAGTCATGCTTCAGCTCTTGAGCATGCAGGTGCCACAGGATATAGTTTTTCTTTGACATCTTTTGTGTGCAGAAAGCCCTTGAAACATTGATGAAACTTCTGCAGATGCCAAATGTGCATTATGCATTGTAGGATGCCCACAGAAGACACTGCTTGCTGTCGAAGTGCAACGGTGCTTGGGAGTGTGTTTAGACTGGGGTCCATCTGCACATCTCTGGTAAAACTGCACCTTCAGGTTAAATTACTGATTTCAGTAATTTGCTGATTTTTAGGGCTTGCTGTCAGGCACATCATATCAGACTGGGGAGCTGGATGGGGGATGGTGGGTGAGCCAAGGATGTGGGGGCTATTATGGCCACCCCTAAATAAGCTGCTCAGGTGTAAATTAGAGCTCCATGCCTGCTACTTCCTTGCTCCTGGGTGCTTGTGGTTGCCTTGCGTAAGAGCTGGTGGCTTCCATGGGCCTGAGGGGTGAGTAACGCTTGCACACCTTCCCTGTGACAGGGAAGTATAAAAAGCTGCCTCTCTGGGCTGTGACCACTCTGGTAGGACTCGTTTGTCATCTCTTGAGCACATTTAACCACTGTCAATGCTTTGTGTTGGGTTGAAGTAACCTATTTGCTGCTCTGGTTTGGAGCCCTGTGCAGGTATCCTGCCCAGAATCTGATGGCCCCAATGCTGAAGGACAAGACGATGACCTCTTTGGTAGGTGGCCCTCTTGACAACTTTGCACCAGGCCAGGGGATGTGTTCCTTCAGGATTCTGGGGCCACCATCCTCAGGACAAGCTGGCATGATGGAAAGGGCATGTACCCAAGTCGCTGTATGCAGGGGTTTTGTCTGTTGCTCCTGGATGCAGTGCAAGTGACCATCAGTGATCCTCAGAGCCTGCTGCACAGACAGCTCATTCAGAGATGTCGATGGTCATCTCTGCCCAGTATGGGAACTGCCAGCCCTGGGAGCGCCACACTGTCAACCCTTGCCATGGCTGACCTCTGCCCAGTGCTGGACATGCTAGCAGTGTCAGCGTTGACTGTGGCATCACCTTCTGGCCTGAGAGGGACATGGCATGGAAAGCCCAGCAGAGCTGCTTGATCCCTGCAACAGCCCAGCTGAGGGCAGGTGATGCCACTCCGAAAGAGGGACTCAAGGCAAGAGGACACTGTTGATGGTCTGGAGGGAAACCTGGACCACAGCCCATCCCCTCCTACCTGCTGCAGGATGAGTGTTGTCAGGAGACTTTGGTTCTTTATGGATCTTCTCTGTGTTGGGTCACCTCTCCACATCTGAGTAGAAGGGAGGCTTCTCCCCCACCAGCGGTTTCAGCAGGCAGACAAGTACTATCTCTTCCCTTTGGTGTCCAGGAGCTGGGCCCAGTGCTTTGGGCAGTGAGAGACTTCAGGAAGTATTAAATAGCTGCTGGATGTGTCACCACAGCACTTGATCCAGGGCAGTGAGTCACAGTGAGCCTGCCAGCATGAAAGGTGGTGGCACGGGGCCACCCCTCCCCTCCCTGCTTGATGTTTTCTTATGTATTGGTTTATTTTTTATTTCTGTGCCTGGGATGAGCATCCCCCTGGCATTGGGTGGGAGAGGAGCAAGAAGGTCAAGTTCAAAGTAGGAATAAAATGACTGACAGTATCCCAGCATTTTCCTGGAGTGTATCCAAAGGAATGCAGAGCTGCTGTTCCCCGTGGACACCTTGGTGCTTCATAGATAGGCTCATCACAGCCTGCAACAAGTACAAATACATCTTTATTAACTATGAGTCTCTATGACTCTACCCCCAGCCCAAACCCTGACCCGAAAGGCTGGTCTTCTCAATTCTTTTCAGTTTTAATTACACTTTCTGTGAAGCTCTCCCTGTGGCCCTGCTCTCCTGCCGGGGGGTGGACATAGCTGGGGAGGTGAACCCACAGAAATGTGTGAAACCCTGGTGCTGGCGGGATGCTCATCTCAAAACCTTTATGCTGGTCCCAGATGGTCCTTATTAGGAGCTCTGGTAGAGGTCTTTGGGACACTCTGGGGTTTGGGTTGCAGGATAGCCTTGCTGTTGAGTGCAATATGGGTGGTTTTTTTCTGAACCAGATTTTTTTTATTCCTGTGTGTGGCAAAATGTGGTAGAAAGGCTCTTGCAAAGTGCTTGCAGTCCTTGGCTGGAAGGTGCTGTCTCAGCTTCTGAGGGACCCTGTGGGGGACACGGCAGGGGTCCCTGCAAATCAGTGGTGGGAGGGTGAGTGCACGTGTATTATTTCAGGTCCAGGGAGATCACCAAGCCCTGACAAGTCCCAGCAGCCAATCAGGGTGGCAGTTTGCAGGAGCAGAAGGTTCATCCTCCTGCACATGCAGAAATGCTGCTTCATCTCCTCTTCCTTTAGCCTGACAGTTTCAGAGAGGCTGGAGACAGCAATGCCAGTAAACAAAATAAAGCTGCAAGATCTAAGATTTTTAATTTTAAATTTTTTTTTTTTTTTTAGTGTCAGCATTTGAAATTCCGACTCTCAGGAAATCTGTTGAAGTCATGGTATGAATCATCCCTACTCTCAATTTTAGGACATATCGTATGGGGACGGGAGCAGAAAATTAGTCATTTTTTTAATCTGCTTCTGATAAAAATTGTTTACAATTCCACAGTGGTGGAATGGTGGGGAAAAGAATAAAATGAGTGGCTGTCATGTGGCCCGGCACCTGCAGCCACCTGCTTGCTTCCCTGGTGCTGTTTTGGGGCAGCAGCAGGGCCTGGCAGCTGCCTGCACTTCTGGCTTGTAATCAAAGTGACCTCCTAGGGCAAATACAAACAGGCAGCTGGAAATCTGCCTCCTGTCCAGAAGCTTCTCTCCCCCAAGAAAAGCAGTTCTTGCTCAAGGAAAAGCCCATTTTTCTGCTACCTGGTGGTGTAACAGAGGTATCCACTGTTAATGCAGGTGGTTGGCAGCAAAGCTCAAGAAGAAGGGGGTCGTATTTTCAAGTGGAGCAATGAGACTGTCCTCCAGCTGTTGGGTTTTTTTGACTGATGGTTAAGAGCTGGGTGGGCTACAGCAGAGGTGATGTTGGGAGTGAGGTGAAGGCTTTTAGGTTTATTGCCTGGTGGGTTTTTCTGAACTAGGGTGATACTGGCATAGTAGGATATTGGGAATGAGATGCTGTGTTAAGGTTGTGATGTCCCTTCCAAGCAGGAACTGGAGGGTGCAAGGAGCACTGGAAGTTTACCTCAGATGAGGATGAACCTTCATCTTGTCAGCTCCCCTATGAGCCCAGAGCTTTGGAGGAAGGGGGCAGCCAGGCTGGTTTTGGGTGGGAGCTGATCCTCCCTTGGAAGGCAGGAGGGAGCAGCCCCCAGCTCTATTTAGCACCCTCTTCAAGGGGACAGATAACATCCTGTATCTGGCAGAGAGCTGGGCACAATGACTCCCAAAAACCCCAGTTGTTACAGTGAGTGATCAGTTAGTTAACAGGGACCTCCTGTGCTTGCAAAGATCTAAGGAAACAATAAAATCGACTGGGTTTTGGGGTGCTGGGGAATGTGAGAGGGAGAGATGCAGCGAGGACGATGCCCTGGCTGCTTTTTTGTAGGCGTTTCTCTCACATGAGGAGAAAAGCTGGCTGCCACCGCTCCCAGCTTTTTGGCAGTGGTGTGCCACGTGTTGGCTGCTGGTAAATGATTGCCCGGGAGCGCCAGCCAAGGCGGGGCCAGAGGTTGGTGCGGGGTTTGAACCCAGACGGGTGCCTGGGACCCGTGTGCCGGCAGCCATCCTGCTTCCACAGCCCGCAGTGTTCGGCAGCCACTGGATTTCTCGGGCAAGGTGAGACTGTGTGGCGTGACTCAACAAGCTGGGTTATTTTTCTTATTTATTTTTACGCTCCTGGCCTCCTTACCGGGTCATGGCACAGGAGGTGGGATTTTATACTAGCTGGGTCCCTGGCAGGGGGATAACGCTCCCCGGGATGTGTTGCCGCTCCGATTTTGGCATTAGGGTACTGCTGAGAGGGAGGCTGGGGTGTGTCTGTTAGTGTACAACAGTGGTTTCAGGGTGAGCTGGGTGGTGCCGCAGTGGCACCTGGACTTTGCTCCATGCCAGGGGACAGTTGCAGCTGTGAATACACAGGATAGGGGGAGCAGTGCCAAAACCCAGCTTTAAAATTAAATTGGGTCAAATCTTGTAAATTTTGGTAGTTTAGGGCTCTCAAGGAGGTCAGTCGAACCCAATGTGCCCTTCATCCCCACCGGTTTTCCCCGGTCGCTCAGCCAAGGCAAACATGAGCTCAGCGCTGAGGTATTTGCGCTGCTCTGTGCCCATGTTTCGGAGGTGGGCAGGGAGGTGGCACCAGCAGGACCCGGCACCTGCACCGAACAGCCTCACCTAGACATGTCTTCCCTATTTCCTCCTCACCTTTCTCACACCGTGACTAAAATTCCTCGTCACTGGAGATAGGACCCTTCAAGCCCCCGCCTTTGATTACTCAAGTAGGCAACAAAAATAATGAAGGAATGTTTAACCTGAGTTCAAGCTTTCTCACAGCCTGGCTGCAGACTTGGGACAGCTGGAGCACAGGATGGAGGGGCTGCAACCACATGGGTGAGGTTGTGAAAGCAGTTTGTGACCCTCAGGACAGAGGGCCTGGGAGTTTCCTGTCTATGTTCCTCCATGCAGGGCCTTCAGACAAGACTGACACTACTAAAAACAGTATTATAACAAGGAAAATAGAGATATCTTTGTGCAGTGTTTGAAAACAGCATAAGCTCAAATATTTGAATTCTTTACAGCTTGTGGTTAATTTTTTCTTGTTTATGACAGTTGCAGTTGAGCTGCTGGAAGAGGCAGGAGTTGGGTGAGCCCAGGCTAACAGGTGTTGTTTTAAGCTAGAAGTAGCTGATGGGTTAGAGTTGAGTCCGACCCCAGTGTTCGTCAGAGCCTGGGCTTCATCATGGGTGTTTATGCCTGGATCCCTCTCCCAAACCTGACTTTTGGTCATGTTTTTATGCAGAAAGAGGTATTATTTTAATTTCTTAATCCCTCTCTGATAAATTGAGATGGCTATAAATAGATTAAAATATGCATTGTCTGCACCTTCCCTCAAAATCCCATTGCAAAAGCAGGCAGCCAGTGGTTTCTCTGCCTTTTCCAATGTTTTTTTGAAAATCCTCCTGTGCCATGCTGTCAGATTGTCAGAGAAATTGCAGTGAAAGTCTAGCAAACCCATTAAAAGTCTGTGCTCACAGCAGAAATTACCTGGGCATCCTCTGGACAAGGTGCAGTTGCCCAAACCCCATCTCTTCCCATCACAGACATGAGGGAAAAAAATTATTTTTCTTTGCAGATGAATATCAGTGTTTAATAACATCAACAAAAATGCAATCTGTGCAGGGCAGCAGCAAGTCTTGGTCTAGGATTCACCCACGGGATGATGATTTAATGACACTGCTTTTCGAGTGCCTTGTATTCCTTGTTAGTGGCTTGGGATGGAAACCTGGTTTCTTTTTTCCCCACAGGCAGCCTGTCCTGCAATGACTCAGTGCACCTGAAGCCCAGCAGTCGTGGGGATGGAGCTGAAGGTCTGGGTGGATGGGATCCAGAGGGTTGTGTGCGGTGTCTCAGAGCAAACTACCTGCCAAGAAGTGGTCATTGCCCTGGCACGGGCCATCGGTGAGCCATCTCCATCTGCTGGGGGGATGCCCCATTTGCAGGAGCTTCCTGGGAAGGGGAGACCTTGGGTGGGGGGGGGGCCTGCTCTGCAGCTGTGGGGATGCCACCAGCTGCTGCCGGTGGGGCAGCAGCCTCAGCACACAAGTGCTGGCCACTGCTTTCCCTAAATGATATGCTCACCTCCCGGCAGGTCAGACAGGCCGCTATGTGCTGGTGCAGAAGCTGCGGGAGAAGGAGCGGCAGCTGCTGCCGCTGGAGTGCCCCCTGGAGTCCCTGGCCAAGTGTGGACAGTATGCCAACGATGTGCAGTTCATCCTGCGGCGGACAGGCCCCAGCATGACCGAGCGGCCCTCCTCAGAGGGCGCTCCGCAAGCTCCCGAGAGGACGTTCATCCGGGCCAGTTTGCCCATCAAGCCCAGGCTCGCCAGCATGGATGCACCCCGTTCTCGGGAGCCAAAAAAATCCATGACCTTCAACTTGGGTCCTACAGGCTCCAGTGACCCGTTCACTGTGAGCCGATGGAGGCACCAAACACGGGAAGGGATCGACTTAGAGGGTGGTGGGATTGTCCAACCCTCCAAAGAGGAGCTGTTTAGGAGGGTGCTGCAGCAGCAGGAGCAACTGCATTCCTTGGAGGCCCATGGGGACACCCTGGAAATGGACCTACGGCTCTGGGAGCGCAGCCGGCTTGCCGGCCAGGAGAATGAGATCCTCTATCTGGAGCAACTGGTGCGAAGGAATGAGACAGAGCTGGGCGAGGAGGAATTTTGGCAGAGCGAGCTCCGGCTGGAAAAGGAGTGTGAGCGAGAGCGGCAGGAGCGGGTTAGAAGCCTGCGGGCCAGCCTGGAGGAGTACACCCAGAGGATCTTTGAGCTGAGTGCGCGGACTGAAGCCCTGCAGGAGGAGATCCAGTGGGAGATGGCTGAGAGGGCCAAGAGGGGGAAGGAGATCTCTCTACCCAGCCCCATAGAGCTGGAGGACATGGCCACCAAAATGAAAAGGGACCTGGAGGCCAAGGTCAAGCAAGGCACCCAGCTGGAGAGCAACCTGGCCAGTGTGGAGAAGGCCCTGGAGGAAGCTGAAAAGAACCTTCAGGTAGATAGGAGTGGGTTGAGCCACCCCATGGGGTAGTGGGACTTTTGGGGAGGGGATGGGACCAGCTTTCCAGCCCCATGGACCAGTGGGTTGAGTGGGGTTAGTTACCTTACCTGGGCAGTGAATGTGGCACTGAGTGCCACTCTGACCCAGCTGGCACAGGGTCCCACACCCATCGCTCTGCGTGCAAGCTGCATCTGGGCTAAGGCTCCTGCTGACTAGTGCCCTGGGAGCACAGCATCACCCTGCTCCAGCACAGACAAAGGTGCTGGAGAGCAAGTGGTCCACATGTGGGATTGGTGGCACTGGCACAAGGGTCGATGTTATCTTGGATGAAGGAGTCACAGAGGGCATAGCACAGGTCCTCATAGTGCCTGTGCACAAAGCCTTTTGACCATGTAAGCTGTGCAGGGGCTCAGGCTCATGGCCGGGGGCTGCAAAGTGTGGAGATGGCAGCTCAGGCTGAGCTGTGATGCCCCCCCCAGCTCACCTGTTGCAGCCCCCCAACATCAGGGGGTCAAGGGGCTACATGACTCCTGCCTTCTGCCCACTGGGTCCCCTTCGGTGGAGCAAAAGCAAAAAGCTTTCACCCAGCCAGGTAGCTCTCCTTCCCCAGCTGGCCATGCTTCCAGCATCTTGCCTTAAGCATCTCATTTGTGCTCGGCATCTCCCAGCACAGCAGCAGCTGCCATTTGCCGGCTGCTCGCACCCTCTTGTGGAGATGCAGCAAACCAGGGCTGTTCCCAAAACAATGCCTTCTCATCGCCACTGCCTGAGCACCCTCCTTCCTGCAGACCCTCGGAGAGAGGCAGCTGAGCCACAGTACTCCTGAGGTCCCCTCCACTGACTTTGGCAGAGTGAGCCTCAGCTGGGGGAGCAGCCCCAGGGGTTGTATCCTCAGGTTGTGGCCTGGGGACATAAGGGGAACATGCAGCTCATCCTGTTCCCTCCCTCGGTGTGTGTTTTGCAGGCCCAGACCCAAGAGCTGGAGGAGTTAAATAAGGAGCTGAGGCAGTGTAATTTGCAGCAGTTTATTCAGCAGACGGGGGCCACGGTGACTGTCCTGCAGGCCAGGTCTGAGGAGGATGCCCAGCCGGAGCCGAGCCCGTGCGAGCTGCCAGCCTACCGGAGAAACGGAGGTCAGCATGCTGCCGCTGGCTCGGCCACAGGGGCTGCTCCGCGGGACCCCTGCCCGCTCCCTGCCTCCTTCTCCAAGGCGTCAGTCCCAAAACTGGCTGGTTCTGCCCTGGGCACTGAGGTTAGGCAGCAGGGATGGGGTTTGGTGCTGACACGACAGTCGTTCACCACTCCAGTGGGTCTGTGAGCTTTGCCACCCCTGGGGTTCCTTCCTCGCCCCCATTGAAGCCTGGGAGCTGCTCGTAGACATGCTCAGAATTCAGATCCTGCAGTGCTGCTTTAGGGGCTGAGGTGGCTGCAGGGAGCTTTCCTTCCCAGGCTTGCTGCATGTCACCGCAGCAGCTGTAGCAAAAAGCAGGTGGCCAAGGGCCAGCATCAGTCCCCAGGGACTGTGGGCTGGTGGGGACAGGCTCTGGTCACCAATGACCTCTGTGTTTGGCAAGGGAAGGGTGAGTGTGGTGCCCAGGGCCATGTCTGCATCCTTGAGGGACAAGAGGAGGTGGGGGGGGCTCTCACAGAAGGGGACCTGGTCATTTCTCCTCCAGAGCACCTGGAGTGGGTGACATGACTGCCCTCCCGCACTGCAGCAGCTGTGCCCAGAAAGCAAAGCACAGGATGTGCAAGCCCTGCCTAAGCCAGGTGTATTTCCCTGTCCTGTAGGTTTTCCTCCCACCGCTGGTACCGACTCGCCTCCCCGAGTCAGCACCAAGCAGCTCCTCAGCCATCCCAGGACCCTGCCGGAGCCCCTGGTGTCCAGCCTGAATCCCGAGGGTACGTATGTCCCGTTGGGGCCCTGGGAGTATGAGCAAGTCTGCAGAGATGGGTGGGAAGAGGGGAGAGGCTTTTGGTGCCCAAAATGGGCTGCAGAGAGCAAGCGTGTGCTGGTAGTGGGAGGCTGGAGCTATTTATAGATGCCATTAGGAAGCACAAAGCTCACACTCCAGCAGTCTCTGCTCTGCTGCCAGGGGCTCATATGCTGCTAGTCCTGCTCTCTGCCCTGCTGGGAGCTGCAGAGGATGGTCCTCACCCCCTCTCCTGCCACTCTGGGCTAAGACCTTGCTGTGATTAGGGTCGGGAGAATTTGTATCCCGTCTTTTACAGGAGCTACTGTTGCTCCATCTTAGCAACCAGTTCACCTCAGACCCCTTTCTACCTCCTGTTACTCTTTTTTCACCTTGCACCTGTTTTTGAGTGCTGGAAAAGTGAGCTGTGGTGTCCTTGCCCGCCGTGGCAATGCTGCCTCCATCCTGGCATCCCCTTCCCACCCACGCCACCATTGCCTCAGCAAAACCCTGCTGCCGTCCTCCTCACTGCCCAATACATCCACCCCCATCTTGCCAGATGCTGCAGCATCTGCATGTCCATCTCCCAGGTTTTGCGCTCACGTACATCCTCTTTTCTGCTCCCCTTTTTGTGAGCGCTTGCCCACCATGGTGGGATTGCTCAAGTGGTTTTTTTTTCTTGTCTTGCAGTTGTATCAACCAGGCAGAGCATCTGGAGGTAGAAGGGCCCGGGCAGTGGAGGATCAATTGCCTTGCAAGTGTAACTGTATAAATAAACCATATTATATATATATATTTTATATTTTTTTTTTTTACTGCTTTATATCGTGAATGGATGTGGACGGCCAGACAGAGTATTTTTACAGACTATAAAATAAAACCAGAGACTGATGACACAAAGCAACCATCTTCCCCTGCGGATGAAAGTGACCCCCTTCTACTTTTTTTAAAGCAGTTTCTATATTCAACAGAAAACAGCGGTGGTCCCATTCTGCATAGCCTCCTCAAAAGACCCATCATGCATTTGGAAAAGTCCTTGTTCCTTTTACTAAGGGAGCAGAACTGCAGTGGAGACCTGCCTCGAGACTCACCTGGATGGAGCAAGTTAACAGATTTTACAGCATCTGGTTGCAGCAAGCAGGGCCATGACAAATAGCCTCTTCACTGGCTGCAGGGGAGGCACAAGAGCGGCTTTAAGACAAATTTCTGGCCCCTCTTTTCTTATATATATTATAAGAAACCTATAGTAGAAGCCCATTTTCCATGGTGCCATGGACCACACTTGAAGAGAGCAATGGGGCACAGAGCAGGAGCTTAGTTTTTCAACTTGTTTTTAAAATAAAAAATTGCAGAATGAACCCTTCCCCGATGGTGATGTGAGTGGGGAGCAGGACCAAAATGCTCTTGGTGACATTTCCCCTGGGGGGTTTTTTGATTCTTTTTTCTGTTTGTTTTTTTTTAACTCTTGATGGCCAGTAGCTACTGTTTTATTCATCTGTCCTCTGTCCCAGTGGGTTGCCTTGTATTTTAATTGCAAAACCAAAGTGGTTTGGGGAGGGGATGAGTTTGTCCAGATCCTCAAGCCTGTTTTCAACGCGTCATATGCAAAAAACATGACTTGGGCACAGCATTCACCGTAAAATCCTGCTTTCCCTGTGCGAATGTAATCCTGTGTGCTGCAGATCCAGTTTTCAATAAATCTTTGGGAAAGGATTTGAGCCAAGTGAGCGTGCTGTTGTGGGCAGGGTGAGCCATCGCTGACAGCTCCTGGTCCGGTGCCTGACAGACGCATCTGAGCTGTTTGTGCACCCTGCAGCTGCCTCTTTCGTTTCCAAGCCATCTCTTTCTATTTGCTGAATTAAAGTTGTAAGTATTTTATAACCGACTGAATCTTATGCACACAGTGCTCTTTTTTTTTTTTTTTTCTTTTTTTTTTTTAAATCACAAAGTGCTTTACAGCCGGCGGATGCAGCTTGTCTCCGGTGAGATGTGGCCATCTCTGGGATGAAACATGACAACCTTTTAATAATGCACAGCAGCAGCTCGGAGCATTTTAGGACAGGAGGCAAAGGGGATGGCGGTTGTCTGCAGATAGGAGCAGGTAAGGGGAAACCTCCCATTTGCCTTCAAGCCCCTTTGTCTGCACCTGGATAACAGGTGCCAAGAATGTCAGCTCTTGCTGTCCATCAGCATCTCCCCTGAGACTCTGCTGGGCTCTGTCCCCAGGGATGTGCCCCTCTCAAAGCCAATTTTCAAGGTGCTACCACAGCCACCAGGTTGGTCAAGTGATACTGAAGGATTAAAGTTTGTTTTGTTGGGAGATCACTGGTCTCAGGTTACCACTGGAGAGCTGCTGCAGTGAGGAAATGCAATTTTGAAGTTGTCTTTTTTGAATCGGGGCTTTTGGGGTTTTTTTGTGGGGGTTCTTTTTCAAGTTCCTCCTCACCCCCTTCCTTAAACCATGTATCTCAGGGAAATTAGTTAAAAATGCATTTGCTCCATGCAGCTGCATCTAGTTTCTCCCATTTGCCTGTTTTTTGGACTTTGTGCTCTTATTTTTTTGGACTCTCTTGCTTTTTAAAAAGATTCCACCTCACTAAGAGAAGTGGAGGGTGATGGAGGTTGTAAAGAGCATTTCAGTGCTGCTCGAGAAAAACACCCAAGAAGTGGGTTCAGAAAACTCACTTGTCTTTGATATGGCTAGATTTTGGAAAGTCCTCTGCATGCCCTGAAAAACTGACCTCTGCAGGTTAAAAACTGGATCTTTCATTTTTGGGGCTACATTTGTAGCTTTGCCTTCAGCAGAATAAATGGTAATCAAGAGAAAAGGGTCATCACTTATGGCACTTCCTATTGGAAAAAACGGGGGCAGAAAATTAATTTGAATCTGATTTTGTGGGGGATTTTGCCCTCTGTTAATGATTATATATTATTTATTGTTGTTGCGGGTTACTTCTGTTCAGTCATGATCTCACAGGTCAAACCAGCACCTGTCTTTCCTGGAGGAAGGTGTGGTATAGTGTGGAAAATAAAGGCTTAAAATATATATCTCACAGCAGATTTTGGCCCCTCAGCTGATGCCCCTTGGCTGGGATGCAGGATTTGGACCTGTTGCGTGGGATGGGAGACAGTGTAACTCGAGCATGTCCCTCACTGAGGTCTGATAATCAGGCAGGGGCCTAGGAAGAGTACTGTAGCCAGAGGCTAACTCTTGTTTTTTTAGCTCAAGACTGTGGCACTTTGCAGATTTTCTTCGTTTTGTGTCCTACAAACCATCGCCCAGCTGCTGCTTAGGCAGCAGTGTTTTGTAAGGCAATAAATTACTTTGATTAACACCTCTGTCCCTGCTGTGGTGCACGTGGCGGTGGGGGGGAGAGGCGTTAATCAAACCCACACAGTTACCTCAGGAGCTCCCCAGCCGTGGGTGACCTATATTCCTCCCGGCACAGGGGGCCTGCGATGGCAGGGCGAACGTGCGGGTCCCCGCGTGTTATTTAACTGAGTGAGGCTCAATACCCACTCTGGCTCCCCCGCCCTCCCGCTTTTATCTGCTCTAAAGCCTGTGTCAATAATACATTTCTGCCATTGAATATTTTATTGATGGTTTGACTTTTTTTGCTGCTCGCAATTCCCATTTCAAGGCTGCGTGATTGTTCCTAATTAAAATTTTATGCCCTGGGACAAGCCTTCTTGCTACAGTGGAGATGATGCTGTCCTTTTCTAGGCCACTACAGAGCAGTAGGAAGGAATTACCCATTGTTATGAGATTAAAACAAAGCAAATAAATTATTGTTTTTCCCTTGAAAAACAAACCAAAAGCCCAGCGTACGATGCGTACTGGAGAGGGAACAACTGGCTTGCGGGCAAGGCAGGGATCTAAGCGTACGGGGTGGCTCGAGGATGCTGTGCCTGGCTGAGCAAGGACTTGTGTCCCCATGTCCCTCAGGCATTGTGGGCAGCTTCTTCCTTCCCTGTAGTGGGTGGGAATGGGCTTCAGAGCTTCTCTCTCTGCTCAGATGTTTCTCACTACTGGCTCCAGTGCCACCCAAAAATCACAAAGCACAGTGACCTGTTTGTCACTGGTCATCAGCCCTGGCTTTTTGCTGCCCTTTTTTTTTTTTTTTTAAATAAATCTGCAGGCTCTGTCAGCACAAGGCACCATTCAGGAGAGTAATTCAGCCACCTCCAGCCTCCCTGGAGCTCTTTTCCTCACTGCACTACATGATTTTTAATTTTTTTTTTTAATATGGCAATAGAGGAAATTACCCCCATCTCCTCACCCATCTACTCTGGACTGTCAGCATCCTGTGCAGATGGTCTGGGTGCCAGCACTGCCCTAGGCCAGTACAGTTTCTCAAGACACTTACACCACCCCCAGTTCGCAGTCACAGATTTGTACGAGTTCCTCAGTGTTTGGGTTTGGATTTTTTCCCCCTAAATTTCATCTAGAGTGGTAGAAGCACTTGTGCTGCCTCCCAGCCCCTGAATTTGGCAAGCAGCTTTTAAAGCACACACTTCAGCTCCAGTTACATAAGGAAAGGTGTGAATATCTGGAGGAGAAAATGCCTGTTGGCTTTGCTCCCCAAGTGGTGTCCAGATGCTCTGCTGCTCCTGGGTGCACAGCTTCTACCAGGGTAGTTCACTGCAGATGGAGAAGAGCTGCTTGAACTGGCGTGCGTGTCCATGCAGGGAGCATTGTCTGCTCTCCTATGATGATTTTTCTTTCTGTCTCAGAGTACAGACTGAGTGCATTCTACCTTGCCCTGGAAAAAAAAAAATAAAAATCATAAAGCACTAGAGGATGCTGGGAAATTTTCTTGTTTATGGATGAGCAAGTTTCTCTCCCAATGGAACCTCCTGCCAGCAGAAATTTTTTTTTTTTTTTTTTTTAGGATGTATTATATAAGTCTCTGCTTGCATTTAACTAACTGACTTCCTCTTAAACAATTTATGTACTCCTTCTATTCCTCAGAGGCCAGCCTGCTCCTTTGGTGAGGCTCACCATGTAGGGCCTGCCAGTGGGCCACGTTACAGACAGAACACAATAGGCACTTCTCGGTGTGATGCTTGGAAGCTAGGCCTGCTTGATTCCCTCCATGAGCTGCTGAAATGAGAGCAAAAATCTTTGAGGAGAACAGAGAGTCCCTTCAGCTCAGTGGGCCTGATATTCAGCATCTTCCCTCCTGTAAGGCACAGCCCTGCCCCTCACCAAAAAGCTAACAGCATCAGTTTTGAGGGAGAGCACCCAACTACTCTTGTTACCAAGCTAAGTATCACCTGTTTATTAGCTACTGAAAAACATGAAATTAAGGGACATCACAGTCCTTGTGTATTTTCTCATCACTCAGGAGCACTCAGCAGCACTTGGGCTGGGGCAGGAGGGAAGGCACCAATGCCAGGCTTTCTGCTTGAGGGACGACCATGTCGCAACCTTCTGCTCTCCTTTTCAAGCCACCTTCCCCGGCTACAGAGGCAAAATAAGAGATGGGAGGCACAGGGCATGCAGCGCACATCAGACACATCACTGAGAAGGCACAGCTTTCCTCTTCAGCTGGTCTGGCACCCTGGATTACAGTAATCAGCACCCAAACACTGGTTTTGCACTATTTATTGAAGGCTTCAGGTGACAGCACAGCAGGTTAGTTTTGAATCACTCCCCAAGAATGTTAAAAACAGGAATTGAGCTGTATGCTCCCCCCGCTTACTGGAGACACACAAAAAACCAGCAAAAACAAACAAGCAAACTTCTTTTCAACCCCTTCCCTTTGCTTACTGGAGCCGAACAGGATGGTT